AACTGCAGATCCTTTTGGGAATGAAGTATAGAATAAATCAATCACATCCATAAACCCTATGCTTTGCCATTTTTCTTGAATAAAGAGAACATGTTTCTGGACACATGGTGAAAAGAAAGGCCAAGGTTGAAATTATACTGTGTGATGGTGAGAAGGTGATTCATAAACTTACCCACAAACACTGTTCTGCTTTAATCTCCAGATGTAGATGATTGCATTAGAACTTTACATAAGTTGAATGATAATAAGCAGAAATAAATGCGACCACTGTCCAGCGAGCAGAACTTGGCAAATCAAAATGTGATCCTTCCTTGTAGTACAAAATTAATTTCCTGGTGATAGCTCATTAAGATGAATGCCAAGCACAGCTTTTGAAGTCAGGAGAATGTGTTGGGAAAAGTCACAGAGCTTGTAGTATGGAGGGTTGGGGCAGGAGATACACATGGGTGTGTGCACGTATTCATCCACTCGTTGGTAAAGCCAGATCCTAGAGACGTCGAACAAAAATTCCTGGGATTAGAGAAGTCATATATTCTTGGGAGAGCTCTTACCAACAGAATTCAGATAAAGGTCCACTAGTTAAATATCACTAAATAAACTTTACCATCTTAACAATTTTTAGTATATAGTTCAGTAGCATTAAGCAATTCATATTGTGAGTTAAATCTCCAAAACACTTTTCATTGTGTGAAATTGAAACTATACCCATCAAACAATTACTTCATTTCCCTCTTGCCCAGCCCAGAGTAACTGCCGTTCTAATAGTTGTTTCTATGCTTTTGACAACTCTAGATGCCTTGTATAAATGGTACTATCAGGTATTGATCTTTTTTGTGACTGGCTTATTTCACTTAACGTAATGTTAGTCCTCAAAGTTCATCCATGTTATAGCATGTGTCATAATTTCCTTCCCTTTAAGGTTAAATAATATTGCATTGTATGCATAAAACATTTTATTTATCCATCCATCTGCTAGTGTACATGTGGGTGGCCTCTACCTTTTGGCTACTATGGATAAGACAGCTATGAACAAGAGCATAAAAATGTCTCTTCAAGCCCTGTTTTCAATTATTTTGTGTATATATAAAGAATGGAATTGCTGGGTCATGTGGTCCTGTTTTCCATAGTGTTTGCACCATTTTTCCTTCCCATTAACAGTGCATGAGGTTTCCAATTTTTCCACATCCTCTCCAATTCCTTGTTATTTTCTGGATTTTGCTTTGTTTTGATAACAGCCATCCTAATGAGTGTGAGGTGACTTTTTTTTTTTAAGAAATAGAATCTCCAGAAAGCTCTTCTGCATTTCAGAAGATGAGGAGAAAGGAATTCTTAATAAAAGATGGGAAGATTCACAAGTGATACCTAAGACAAGACACCCCTCATCATCTAGTCTGATTTGAACTCTGTTAATAATGTGAAAGCAACACCAATTATTTCCTCCATCTCCCTGCTTTGCCTAGGATGTCAGCCCACTAAGCCTAACAGTTGATTCAGTGAGGTAAACTGCAAAACCTGGCTGATTGTGGTTAGGCATCCCTGCTGAACTACTTCTTGACCAACCATAGGTGGCAGCAAATAAGGCTATCAATGACCTGGTCTCTTTACAGAGAAAGCAGAAGTCCCAGTGCTTCCTTCTCACTCTTTCTCCCTAAGCATTCTGCATTGGATAAAACCTAAAACACATTTGGCCCTGAGAAGCACCACCGCCCCCGCAACACACACACACACACACACACACACACACACACACACACACCATTTTTTAAACATGTGTGTCTCAAGAGAATGAATCCATATGTTTCTGATTCATTTATAATTAATTCATCAAAATGTTATTTTGATGTCCAAGAAGCTTTACGAAGGCTCTCTCATGAGTCTTTTTTCTTAGAAACAGGAAATCAGGCCTTGCCAAAAGTCAAACTCAAAACACACTAAAGGGTTTTGAGCTGAGTTTGAAACATTGGGACTTTAACATCTAAGAGACTGCCAAACTTGGACAAGAACATCTCTTCATCTCTACATGCAAGCCAAACCCAGATTTAATGCGGGATTAATCTTTGGCTCTTGAGATGCCCAGCAGGACAGAAGCTTTTTTGTACAAGCACCATAAGATTCCAGGTGAGCAGCAAGAAAGCAGAATGAGGATGAGAAAAAAACATCAACGGATTTTTCAAAGGGGAGGCTTGCAAGACAACAGTGAGTTTATAAAAATGCCTATGGGCAGTACATCCACAGATAACCCGAACAGACTCTTTCATCCATCAGTCTTGTCTCCAATTTGTGAGCTATTTCAAACAGGGAGGCTTAGCACAAGGTGATATTCCACTCCAGAATCCAGGCTGTACTTTACCCATGTGCTCCCCCAACACACCACAACTCTCTTCCACAGACATCGGTTGCGTTCACTCTCAGTGTTCCAGAATACCTCAACGACTCTGGTATTCTGTTCCTCTTCCACTAGGACTCATACAGATCTATATCTTACATCAATCCTTTTCAAACACTCCAATTTAGCCAAGCATGCCAGTTTTCCCCAGATCTCTCCTTGCGCTTTTAAATCTTCAAGTTCTTACTCTGTGCCACACCATGTAATTCTGCTTTTCTGAATGTCACTCTCCTCCCTCTGACTTTCTCCCTGAGTCTATATAGGTCAACCATAGTCTGGTAGCACCCCTTCTCCTTTAACTGCCCATCATGCTTATTCCAGTAAGGTAGGACATGATTTCTACACTCCTTGGTAACATCTTTTTTTATTGTAATCTTACAAATATTAGAAAATTAGTTAAACCTGAATTAAATCATGTTTAAAATATTGTATTGCTTCCATAACTAGTTGCTAGAATTTTGTATCCTAAAAAGAAAAATGATAGATTAAGTTCATTTAAAATGAGATTAAGATTGACTGCACTTAGAGAATCTCATATGTGATAAGGTATATAGACAGGTTATAAAAATGGATATTTGACTCCAGTTTTGTAAATATGGAGGCTGTTTATATGATGCCATAGGAATTCCTGGAGAAACAAAAATTAATAGTACATACTTAATATGAGGAGAAGGAGGGATCCAGGTCTGAATCTGCTGAAGTTAGGTCTATCAGATAGACTTCCAGTTGCCTTAAAGTCTGTTCAAACTATCAGAAGGAAAAGGAAATGAAAATAAAACATTCCTCTTGTCATAATTCATATCAACAAAGAATATGAGGTTAATGATTTGAGGATGAACTGAATTTTGAGGAATAGTGATTCTGTCAACCAAGACTTTGTGACCAGGGAAGGAAAAAATCTAAAGAGAAGATGGAATACAAAGGGAAATAATAAGAAAAACAATGAAGTGGGGGCTTTGCTGTAAGGTGAGATTCTCTAAAGGATGCGGGAGGAAGACAGAAAGGGTGCTGGAGGCATTTTTCTTCCTATCTCAATCTGGTGGATGAGTAGACGTCCACATGTCACTGGGGGGCAGGAGAGGGAGGCTAGGTCACTCTTCTGTCATCATTTGGTGCCAAAAAAAGCCAGGAAGATGAATACTGACCTTGAAAACATAAAACCATCTAAGCATCCCACTGACAGCGGGTGGAAGAGGTAAGTGAGCCTTTCCACCACTGCCAGGTACAAGAACATGATCCACCCCTGCCACCCTGCGGCCTACCCTGGTGGGCTGAAAAGAGAAGTCTGAGAATCTGGCATTACAGGAGCTTGCTTTTAGAGCCCAAAGGGTGGAAAAACACAGCTCAAGGAAAGCCCAATCTAAGGATTCCAGAAACAAATTTCGGATCACTAGGAAAGAGCATATTTCACTTCTGCCCACTTAACCAAGGTTGAGCTCAGCTTGTAATTCTACAGATTTGTTGGTGAGGGAAGGGAAAGATATTTAAAATAAATCTCTGCTCTCAAATTCTTGAAGGGACAGTATGTTTAGTAGAGCTATGGATTTATAGTTAAAAAAATTTATTTTAATATACCAGGGATTGAACCCAGGGACACTAAATCACTGATCCACATGTCCAGACTTTTTAATTTTATATTTAGAGACACAGTCTCAATAAGTTGTTGAGGCTGGCTTTGAATTTGTGATCCTCCTGCCTCAGCCTCCCAAGCAGCTGGGATTACAGGCATGCACCACTGTGCCCAGCTGATTTATGGTTTATCATCATCTTTAATATATTAAAGATGAGTATTTAATATTTAGATGTAATATAAAGAGAATTTGGTGATCAGTCTTATCATTCCACATTTTCAGTGTATAATTGAATATTGATTCAAGCTCTAAAAATCTCATGAAGTTAATATAAAAATTAAAAGTTTTAGAGATATTTAGTTAGTTTCTTTTATTAGGTTACAAGACCTACTTAAGCACTTAAGAATATTTGTTAGATAACTAAAGTACTTTAAAAAGTGAGATACAGTAAAACAAAAAATGAAGTTTAAAATACCTTAAAAACCTTCAACTAGGTTTATAAGTGGTATCAAATATTAATTAAATACGTACTAAGAAATAACTGCTAAAATTTGCTAAATATAAATAGCAATATTATATTACCATCTGATACACACCAGCAAGATGGTAGACAGGAAGCCCTGGCCCCTCCTTCCTGTCAGAGAGAAAAAGATTGAACAATACACGGATCAATTCTCCTTGGGAAAATTACAGAAGCTAGTGAAGAGACTCCTGAACCACAGGCAGGTATATGCACTGACAGAAAAATGCATGGCATTCACTTGTGATAGTCCTTACCCTTGACTCCATAATCCAGTGTTCAAACTTTTGAGGAGACTGTCCAAGGGCTTAGCTTCTGTTTTGCCTGAATCTAGGTGATGACAACAAAGGGTATCAGTTTGGGGGAGGGTAAGAGCAAAGGCAATAGTCTAGGCTGATACACACCCACTATCCATGGTTTCTCTTACCAGGTTAGTATAAAATAGGCAGGAGCTGTATTAACACTCCAGACGTTTAAGGGGACTATGAAATTGTCTTTTCTGTCTGAAGAGTGCTAGCGATGTATTCTATCCTAGATAGCCCAAGGTTACAAAGAATAAATGAGATCTGGGAGGTTTGCTGCTGTTCCAGAGGAGACATGGTAAAGCAGATAGAAATTGATACGAGTTGATAGCCTTTTTCTTGGGGGTGGGGAGCATGGAACATATATATTCAACAACCCAGATTTTATGGCCACCACCCAAAGGACTTAACTTCTGTCTCACCCAACTTAGAGAACTGATGAGACCAGTGTACTCCACAAGCCCATGGGTCACTAGGAGCAAAGGGAGATGGGCTCCTTCATAGAAGCCTAGATTACCCGCCTCTATAGACAGACACAAGAGGAAAACAGAGAATATGAGTTCCTGTAAGAAGGAACTAGCAAATCTCTCATGCTGAATATTCATGTTCACAGAAGAGGTTCACAGAGAGAGACCCATATTCTCATGCCAGGCTGACTGCTGAAGAGCCTTTCCTATAAACAACAGTTCATAAAGACTCAAAAAGGTG